CATTCCAGTCTCTTGTCTCTAATCTGTGTCTGTCTTGTTTGTCCCGCTGGTTCTCTGTTTGCACAGTCAACGCCACACATGGAGGAAAAGGTAAATCCAACAGGGTCCAGTCCCACTTTTCTCTTCTAAACTGACCTGCTTGGATTGAAAACATGACTAAGAACTGATGATAATCCTTTCCTTGTTTTTTTTTTTTTTTTTTTTGGTACGCTCCAACACTGCAGCATGTGAAACTTTGGGCACCACAAAAAGAGTGTTTTAATTTTCATGGATGGCTTAAAGTAATGGAAATACAAAAAAGCAGTTCACCTTTAGATAATTTCACAGATTGGAAAGGATTTTGAAACTGCCAAGTTCAAACTTCTCTCTCTCTTGAGAAAATTTCTTTTCTTTCTTTCTTTTTTTCTTGTAGAAACATAAACATTAAGTGTGTTTTCTTGGATGGGTGTTCTTAACTGCAAATTTCATTCTGCGTTGCATCCCTGATGTTATGTTTGAATGACAATAAAGCAAATCTGAATCTGAACACGTTTAATTTTACCCCCCCACCCCACTGCTTCACAATGACAGTTTTTTTTTTCATGCTCCAGTTTTGACAACAAGAGATAAGMCCTACAAGTGGTGCTCAGACCTTTGCATGCTGCAGTTAAAACAGATCCCCTCATGCATTTGGCTTAATATTTTATTATCATGAATACAATAACAAAAAACAAGGAATGCCTTAAAGTTATAAAAAAGGCGTGCACCCAGGTTTCTTTATCTACCTTTCCTCTTTCTCCATGATATTGTGTGGCTTGTGATAATATGTTTGTCTGTTTCTCGGGGGTTTGGTTTGATTAAACTGATTAAACAGATTTAGCAGATTATTGCCAATAAAAAAGCTCAGCGTGTGAATGGGCACGTCTTGTGTTTTTGTTTCCTGGTGCAGTTTTAAGTAAACTGTAAACGATAGGATTTGTTTTTCTGTAGATATGATGTCATTTCTCTACAGTCAATATTAAAGGGAGCATTCAGTAGTTAGGGATGTTAGGATGTTTTCTGGGTGGTTTTGCATCTAAAGCATGAAAAGATGAGCGGAGGCCTGCAGTGGGTCTAACGTCACTTTCCTCCCCTCCTCTGTGTCTCCTCTACCAGCAGCAAAGCGGAGCGCCCGCCTTCGTTGAGCCTGTACCCCAGCGGCGACGGCATGGTACGTGGGGGTCTCGGGGGGGCTAGGATGATGCCCGGGAAAGACATGTGGCAGGTCAGCGAGCTCAGCCAATCCACCTTCAGCTCTGCCTATCAGGTGGGACCGACTGGGGCCCCCACTCCCCCTCCTTCACAACTTGCAGCCTGGGGAGTGGAAGGGGGAGGGGGCAACCACACCCACGCAGACCCCCTCTCCACCCACACCTGCTTGTGTCACGTTTCAGAAAATCATTTTGAAGCATCTTGACAGGAAATCAAACCTCTTAAAATGAACTGACTGAAACAAGCAGGAACCGTGCTACGTTTTATTTTTAATTATTTTCTTCATGCACTTTTCTTTGTAACAGTGTGACTTTTTTTTACTGTTATTGTTGAGCTTTTACCATCTGTTGCTGTTTGTCTTTGTGGTTACACAAGTTAAAGCTCAAATTTACACTTTAGTCGTGTAATAAATATTTGTTTGCTACATTTTATTTTTGTAGCCAACTAGTATAAAATAAACATTTTGTAAGTGAGGAAAACCCACTTACAAAATTTGAATCATGAAGTGGGCGATCTGTGAAAAAGGTTAAGAACAGTTAATATCTTACCTGTTGTAGATAGCTCTGTGAACTCTACAATGATGAGCTAATGTGCGAGGCCAATACCAAAGTGGATTGCTGCCATCTTTAGCCTTAACAAAAACGTGTTTTTTTTTATAAAACCATCTTTTTATTTGTTTTAGAAGTGGCTACAGCTAGCTTCTTCTTTTGATACTTATGCTCGCAAATAACCTCAAAATTTTACATAAATACCTGTAATGAAAAACTGACTGTGATGTGTTGTTTGGCCTTGCCAGGATTAGCCATTAGCTTATCAACCCTGTCAGAATTATTCACTGTTTATTTTTTTTTTCAAACTGAGATCTTTCAAAGAGCTATGTATAACAGGTAAGATATTAATAGTTCATAACCTTTCCACATAACCACACATCAAAATATCTGAGCTATTGCACGAAGTCATGGACTTAACACCATCCCTATGACAGTGATGGTAATATGAAGACAAGATTAAAGAGAGAGAAAATAAATGAGAAACTGAAATGTTTTACAGAAATCGGTCTCTAGATGAGAAAAAAAGTTAGTTTGTTTTACTTCCTGAGATTCTTTCCTCCTGACGCAGTTTAAAAACCACTGCTTGTGGATTTGTTTTCRCTGCATTGACATCTGATTGGACCACGGTATTCTGGAACAGATCAAAGCCGAGCGTTTTCAGTCTGCTGAGTTAGACGTTCAAGTTTTGTGGGAATTTGCGGGCAGTTTCAAAGCAAAGCCTTAACAAAGCMAGAAAAGAAAGAGGGTGAGCTGATCTGGGACAACAGAAACCACTCTGTGTTCCTGAACAGAGCAGGTGTAACAAGGTCCTGAAAGGGCGAAGCTTTACCTGAGGTTAAAGCTCTGAAAATCAGGGGAGGAGCTAGACTTTTTGGCACAGGGGTGGCCAAGGCGTTTTCTAGGGGGGATACATACAAATAAAAGAACTACTCTTGATAWGAAAATTCAAGATGGCTGCCACAGCAAATTGCAAATGTCTCTAATTCAGTTGTTTTAAGAAATACTGAGCTAAAATTTTATGYGATCACAAATGAAAATGATCCGAAACAAATGCTAGTCATAATTTCAAGCTTACCCCTAATGCTAATATTTACAAAGAACTACAAGTCAGCTATTTTTAGATAAAACTAAAAATTAGTAGTAGCCAAAAACAATCTTTACCTACTTCTAAATGCTAATCAAAAATTCAACATGGCCACTAGAGCTAACTTTACATGGCTATAATTCAGCCATTTTAAGACTTATGAGCTGAAATTTGTTGTAGTGTAACAAAAAATGAACAAACTCCTGCTGGTGGCTTATCTCGATTTCAGCTTATTGTTAATGCTGATGCTAATTTTTAAATTTCTAAATTTAAATGGCTACAACTCAGCTACTTTTAGCTATATTGAGATGAAATGTGTTGTGGTGGAAGCTACAATCACCTGTAGTCCAGTTAAATTTTWAATTTAAAGTTGCACCGACATGGCAGTCCACGTCAAAGTTTCTCATGTTCCATTAATGTAATTACTATGTTACAGACTGGCCACTAGATGTCACCCAGTTTTTATTAACTATCACACACAAYTGTTGCTTTATTTTAATTCAGTGGTTCAGAAAACTTTGTTTTTCACACACTGACAGGTTCTTTCTACACCAGACAAAACAGCTGCTTGACACATACGTACTCCTTTTTTTGCCCTAACTGGTGACACCTGGGCTGGCCACTCAGGTGCCAGTGTTGGCTCTTGCCAGTCCGACCGCCCCTCTARTTCCACCCCTTTTTAAAATGTATCTTGATACCAATTAGAAGAAAAATCAAGCTGCTTTTAATCCAACAGGAAGTTCTAAATTTAAAAAAAGATAAAACATCAGAAAAACTTTATAGCTTATCTTATACTCTTACAATCAGGAAGCAAAATCAAGGAAGTCAACATAACACATGTTTCTTTAAGCAAAAGTTCAATGACAAAACACAATTTGCTTTAATATCAAAACGGTAACACTTTATTTGAGGGGTGTGCCTAAGACTGTCACGACACTGTCATAAATATGACATAACTGTCGTGAACTTAAATTAGTCCTCATGAATCTTTATGACTGTTGTCATTAAGTGTCATTTGGTAAATTATGACACTTTTAATGCAAAGTTGACATTGTTTAAAATGTCTTTGTTATGACAACTTCACATCAACCAAGAAATCATAGGTTATTATAAAAGCTATTAAGTGTCAACTTGGACATTTTATTACACTGTCATTTGTTGTTAGTCTTAACTTTGGCTGTCATGAGACCAWTATATTTCATTAATATTTTCCCCTACCTCAAGTAAAGTGGAACATTTTAGACTAGTTATAAAGATGTCRTTAAGTGTCATTACACTGACAAGTGCTTATAAATACTCTAACTTGTCAAGACATTTTTTGTCTTGGTTAATATCAAGTTGTCATAACAAAGACAATGTAAACTTTGCATTAAAAGTGTCATAATTTACCGAATGACACTTAATGACAACAAGTATAAACGTTCATGAGGACTAATTTAAGTTTTTTTTAATCATTTATTCATTTTTATTTGTAACAATACACAACAAAAAAAACATGCAATTAAAATAAAATATAAATAAAATGAAAGGCAGCAGAAGAAGAATGAATCTTATAATTTCTGCCCCTTCATTAAACCTAAAATATGTTCAAAATAAAAGTAAATTACAACAACAATCAAAACAACTAAAAACACACAAAAAACTAAAAACAAAGCTAAATTTAAAACACCAACTCAAAACAACAATTAGCATTAATTCACTTATGCTTCTCCATATTTTTTCAGAATACTAGATTTTATCATTCTCTTTAATACATACAAGGAYCTGGCATTTTTAAACTCATCTTCTAGTCTGTTCCACAAACTTATTCCCTGGATTAAAGTGGTTCACTCCTTCAGGCTCGTACAAAACCAGGGTTTCACAAACATTTCGATTCCCTTAAGATAATAAGAGCTCTCTTTTAACAAAATTTACTTGAATGTTGGAAGGTAACACACCTTTATGAGGTCTGTACATTAACAGCAAAATATTATAATCGACCAAATCATAGAATTTTAATAATTTCAATTTATAAAATAATATGGATGACTGTAATTTTTAGTGATAATTCTTATAGCTCTTTTCTGTAAAATAAAAATAGATTTTGTGATAGTTTTGCGAGCTTTACCCCAGACTTCAATACAGTAAATTAAATGTGGAACAATTATAGCATTATACAACATAAATAGTGCTTTATCATTGAACAGTTCTTTTACTTTATRCAGGACTCTGATAGATTTGGCTATTTCTGTTCTTAAATTATTTATATGATTTTTCCATGTCAGTTTTTCATCAATGATAACACCTAAAAACTTCATTTCGCTGACTCTACAGATCTCAACATCATCAGTTTTAAATGAAACATCTATAGTTCTCTTATTGTTACAGAAAATCATTTAGTTTGTTTTGTCCAAGTTTAATGATAATTTATTTAGTTGAAACCAACWTTGTATTTTCACAAATTCTGTCTGTACGATCTCCAAAATTTGTTCTAAATAATAATAATAATAATAATGTTGTGTCATCCGCAAATAGAACACAACTAAAAAGTCCCGACACATTGACCAAATTGCTCACATACAAAACAAATAACTGAGGTCAGAGAATGGGACCCTGCGGCACTCCACATGCGATGTTACAAAACTCAGATCTTACATTATTTATTTGYACAAATTGTTTTCTATCTTCCAAATAACTAGATGCCATACCAAGTTCATGACATTTATGTCATATTTATGACAGCATTATGACAGTTACCATAAAAACAAAAACTTCAGATTATGAACTTCAAAGCAGTAAGGCCAGTGGCTCGTGCAGCTGATATTAGTTTTTTTTTTTTTTTGATTGTTTCATGCATTAGTGATGCTTATGTTGTGTTTTGTTTTGATTTCACGTCGTTGCTTCCTCTCCGCCCCTGAAGGAGGACGGGTCAGAGTCGGACTCGGTGGCRGTCACACCCAGCAGCACAGGCAGCAACGCCAACACGCCCACCTCCTCCGTGCCCTCTGCCACCGTCACCCCCATCAAAGACGGCTTCTTCCCGCCCTCCGAGTTCGACAAGACGCGCTCCGGGAACCGCAGGAAAAATGGCAAGCGTCTCAGCCGGAACATGGAGGTGCAGGTTTCCCAGGAAACCAGGAACGTCAGCATCGGTAAGATGATGTCACAAAAAAAAAACACTTTGCTGGTTAAAGGTTTTTAAGAAACCCAGAGGATTATTCATGAAACTGTTGTGTGTTTCCAGGGATGGGCAGCAGTGACGAATGGTCGGAATTTCAGGAAATTATTGATTCCACACCTGAGCTGGACATGTGTGTGGATCCTCGAGTGTACGGAGGAGGAAACAGGTACCAAAGCAACAAACTACATGTCTCACACCAGGAGAAATGACATCATTAACACCATTTTGCTGATTTTGCACATGAAATAAAAAAATCATGCATGATTTCATACCCACCGTCTTTTAAAAAAATCCCACTCTGTGTGTCTCTCAGCCCCTCTCAGGGCATCGTCAACGAGGCTTTTGGCATCAACACCGACTCTCTCTACCACGAGATCAAAGACGCCAAATCGGACATCATCGGGGACGTGGACGCAGGAGCCGAGCTGTTAGGTACGGCCCTGATCCTCGCCGGTTTTCACTTCACGAGGTTCTTATCCGCAGCCCTCAATGCTTTCATCTGCTCTTTTTGGCCAACGTGTTTCATTTTGAGTTAAGAGCTCGARAACAAAAATAAAGAAATAATTTGAAATGGAGCAGATGTCTGTGAGGCGGCGTTTTGTACTTTTTTTTTTTTTTTGCAGAACTGTGGAGGAAAAGCAGCTGCTTGTGATGCTGTGAATGTGTTGCTGCACTGATTCTTTCCCTGCATGTCAGGCTGAAGCACCCCCCCCTCACCATCACCCCTAAATTTGTACAGTCTCACACTCACAAGTTGCAGCCACAACCTCATGCAGTCCCTTTTATAACTCACTTATGTAGTTGTTTTTCTTTATATTTAATAGATTGTGTTTTGTGTGTTTTTTCATCTATATGTGATTTTTGTTTATTTACTGTTGTATTTGTCAGGGGAGTGTATTCCCTGGTTTTAATCATTGACTTTATTTTAGGCATGTGCTGTTTTAAATTTGGCCCATCTCGCTGACCCATCTGTTAACTTCTCACTCATTTATGTTTTTTTTTTTCTTTTTCTTTTATGTGCTTCTGCCGGTGAAACCCGTAGGCGAGTTTTCAGGTGTGTATCTTGTCTTGGTATCATTTTCTTTCGCTCTTTCAGCACTGTTCTCTAAACTCAACATTTCAGAGCAGATATTATTCTGTGTGCACAGATTACAAAGTAGTACTAACCGTTAGCATACGTTGCTAATTAGAGGCTTCATTAAGTGAATAGAAATTTGTAAATCTGTTCAGCTGATTTACACCAACTTGTAAATGTTTTTAATGACAGCARTAGCTAATTTGTCCTAACATCTCACAGCTTGATGTAATTAAAAACGTTTTGGTTTCGTCTAAATCTTAATTAGTAGGGGTGCAACAATACATCTGTATCAAATTGTTCAGTACACTGCTTTAGGTTCAATACACACTTGTATCTAAATAAAAAGATTTATTTTATTTTTTCATCTCGTCTTCTGAAGACGCTCTGTGTTAAAGGATCAGTGGATCTGTGTTCGACTGCTCAACCTAGGCTTCATTGTCGAGCGCAGATCCACTGAGAAACTTGCTGTTTCAGCAACATTTAATTTAAAAACTGGACTTTTGAGGTTAAACAAATGTTCATAATTAATTTCACTAAATTAGAAGTTTAGAAGGGCTTGGAAATGTATCTTTTGTGAATCAAAAAATATCGAATCTTGAGACTAAAGTAGTAAAAAGAACCRAATCGTGAATTTTCTGTATTGTTGCACCCCTACTATAAGTCCCCCTCAATATAGATGATATTCTTAAAGTGTTTTTATTTATTGTAACTAGCACAATACATGTTGCGCACATTAAAACCTGACCTTTCAGAAGGGAATTTTTAGATTTTTTTAAAGCTATCGTAGATGTTGCCACAATTATTTGACAAGATGTGAACAGTTTTTACAACTGTCTCCTCTGCAAACTTTATATAATGAAATCAAAATATTATTAAATCATTTAAACAATGACTGTTTAAAATGCAGTCAAACCAAATGTTTAAAACAATTTGATTAGCTTTGGCGGCCATCTTGAATTGGACTGACTCCAGACATTAATCTGTTGATCTAACAAAACATTTAATGAGGTAGTAATAAATCATTTATTAGTCGCTTAGAAGCTTCTTTTTTATGCATCTTCTCTTACGTTCCCTCTCTTCCTGTCTCTAATCTTCCCTTTTTTTTACTTCTCCCCTTCACTTTCTTCTCCTTCTGCCTCCAGTTCGAGATGATTTCTTCGGTAAGACGCTCTGTTTCTTCACTCCTCCTCACTTTTTGCTTGTTCCCTCACTCCCGGCTCATCTTACGACCGTCTCCTCGCTGCCGCCTTGTTTCTGTTTTCATGCCTGCAGTTTTTTCATCCTTGTCAACAACAAGCTGAAGCAAATACGCGCGCATGAACTGGCTGTTCGCTTGTTAAAGTCTGCTGGATTCTACAAACTTTATTTTGTTTGTTACTGAGACATCCCAGAATAACATAACCCTAAAGAGATAGGTGGCCATAATTAGTAAATTATATTGCTCATTTGGAATAATGTAAGCTCTTCTTGGCGTTTTTTGTTTTGTTGTCATTTTACACGCTCTTGCTCCCGTTTTGCTTACAGTTTCCGTGTTTTTCTGCTTTCAGTTGAGCTGATTTTCTTTATTTTCTGATTTACCATAATTAATTACGTCAAATTAAATTAGGTTGAGTATGATGATGAACTTTTCATTCTGCGTGTTTATGTTTATTCTGATCCAAAAAGTCTGAGGTTGTTTCTCAGGTCATTTCTTCTTTTGAATTTTCCAATTATTTAACCACATTTCATTTTCTTTGCCCACTTCAGCCTGGGTGATAATTAGAGATCCTCTGAAATAATCAGATAATTTGGATTTGCATTAAATCGTCACCTTTTACTTTGATATTATTGTTCCTAAACTGCGCTGAGTGCGGTATGATTGGAGAGGAAAGTGTTCAGGTTTTGAGTTGATGGACTGGAGACATTGTTTTCTCTGAGATGACATGAATGTGAGGTGTGTTTCAGGGATGGGAAAGGAGGTGGAGAACCTGCTGACGGAGAACAAACAGCTTCTTGAGACCAAGTAAGAACAACAAGGGAGATTTAAAAAAAATGCTCATATGTACCTTTTCCGGTAAATCTTAATGTCTTTCTGCTGTTTGATAGAAACGCTCTGAATATTGTGAAAAATGACCTCATTGCCAAAGTGGACGAGCTTTCGAGCGAGCAGGAGGTGCTGAGGGAGGAGCTGGAGGCRGTGCGGCAGTCCAAGAACAAGGTGGACGCCAGGGTGAAGGAGCTGGAAGAGGAGCTGAAGAGGTGAAACAAACAAACAACCCAAACCTTTTTCATTTGATACAGACATGTCTGTCAGGAAGCCTCAGATGACAGAGTTAAAAAAAGAAACAAAAACCAAAAAAACCTTCAAGTAGCTGTTGACCTGTAGGTCAGCTCTAAAAACTTTAAAGTCACAGATTTGTCCTGGGAACTGATGCAAGAAACGAAACATGAGTACAAAATTCACAGAGCCCCAGCTTGTTCAACAAAAATGCAGTTTCCAATTTAAGCAAAATGTATCTAACATCATCCACTCCTTGTCATGCCTAAAAGCAGAAATGAAGACTTCCACCTGTCATTTTGTTCATTCTGTTCCTGGCTTCAGGTTAAGAGCTGAAGCTCTCWGTGCGTCTCGGGACTCCAAGGATGAAACGGGCGACGAGGTGAGTTCAAATGACTTTTTCTGCTCTGACACATAAACTTTGAATTTGTGGGGGAAATAAAGGTTTTTAGTAAAGCTTTGTTAGAAAACTACTTTTGACTGAATAGCTTGATAATTGTAAGTGTATTTACAGTAAAATGGTCCAAATTTCACGAACAATTATTGTGTGAATTCAATGAAGCATTCATTAAACTGCGTTGATCCGTTTTTCTGCCGCATGTTTTCCAGCACATATCTCGTTTCACAGTTTTTGTGCTATTTTAACACTTTATTATCAGAAAGTTCAGCTCCTTCAGGACATTCCAGTTATGTCTTTGTATTTCAGCAATTTACACTTTTTGAACTATTTAGCCTTTTCCGCCATTTCTGTTCTCATTAAAATGAGTAATCAGCATCCTTAAAACCCTTCAAAATAGTTAAACCTTTCCAATTCTTTTCACCTTTTTTCTGGATCTGCTTTTTTGTCCCGTTTTCAACGAGGCGGGGGACTTAGAAATGATCTCTGTCCGTCCATCCATCAGTCCATTGGTCCGTCCGGCCGTTACATTTTCAGAAAGCCGTAACTTTCACATAGAAAGGCTAAAATACGCCAAACTTGATATGAGTCATCCATGTTGCATGTCCAACCATACCATGTGGTCACATTCTAGCTATTTAAGCTACTTTTTAGCATTTTTATCTAAATTCACATTTTATGATAATTTCAGCTTCTTGCTGCTTAATTCAGCCAACGTGTGCTCTTTCCACTTATTTGTGCTAGATTCAGCCTTTTCAGCTGGTTTTTGCTACTTTTATGCTAATTTTAGCTTTTTTTTGGCTATTTTACAATAAATTGCAAAATTTTAGTACATCCTTTCTGTAGTTGGAACTGTTTTATTTATTGATTTGAGTTTTGTGTGCAGCTTTCATCGCCCATGCAGGACGGGGACATGGCGATGACCCAGCGGCGGCGGTTCACCCGGGTGGAGATGGCCCGAGTGCTGATGGAGAGGAACCAGTACAAGGAGAGACTGATGGAGCTGCAGGAAGCTGTGAGGTGGACCGAGATGATTCGGTGAGTGTTTTTTCTGTTTTTCTTGTTAAACGCTTTACATATAATGTACAAAAAAAAAATTAATTTTCAGTTTTGTTTTCTCTCCTCAGAGCATCCAGGGAGAGTCCTCCAATCCAAGAGAAAAAGAAATCCACCATCTGGCAGTTGTGAGGCTCTGCTTTCGTTAAAGCGACGCTAAACCAGAATGTGCCGACAGTTCGTTCAGACAGAAACATTAAACTCATCCTTCTCTGATTCTCTCTCTGCCCCGAAGCTTCGCCCGTCTCTTCAGCTCGTCCTCCAGCCCGCCGCCCGTCAAGCGGCCGTACTACAGCGTCAACATCCACTACAAGTCCCCGTCGCCGGCTCTGACTCAGCGCCGCAGCCACACCATGTGTCAGATCTCCACCTCCAACCGCACGCTGGAGTTCTTCCCTGAAGAGTGAGCCTCGCTGCAGCCAACATTTCACCTTTTCCTGCTCTGATCTGAACTCCTGCTCGCTTGTGGCAGCTTACAGAGTAGCTTACGTTGCCGTAATTGCAATTAAGTCACGCTTTATTCTGTTTAAATGTTTAGATGTAGGGTTTGGAGTCTTTTTGCAATCTCATGTGATACATCAGCACTTTTAGCGACTACCACATGAAATTTTAGCACATTTTCTCTCAAATTGATTGCTGTAGCAATTTTGTATGTTTGCTATGGTTGATTAGCTGTGGCAGCTATCTTAAATTGGACTTCAACAGTAGTTGATGTACACTTTAGTCATTATGTACTGCGAGTTTTGTGAAAATCATCTGAAACAGACATAAAATCAAACATTTCAGTTGGTTTTTGCTTTTTTAAAACCAAGATTTTTTTAAGGAGTCAAAGCCACTAACCTCCACCCCACATCGTCATCTAATCTTCCACTTTCACAAGGTTCAGTTTAGTTAGAGATGGAAACGACAGCTTTGCTCGAGCTGAAAGAAAAGCCGTGTAAAAAGCTTGCGCCGTCCTCGTCTTGCTCTTTTCTTCCTGCTGCTGGGCTGGCCGGGCTGCTAACGCTTGGCTTTTCTCTCCCTCTCCCTCCCTCCCTCCCCCCCGGTGCTTCCAGACTGGCGAGTAACGGTGTTGCGTCTCTCCTCAGTGACTCGGCGCTGCTGGCCCGCCGAGAGCAGCGGCGGGAGCAGTACAGGCAGGTGCGCGAGCACATGCGCCGCGACGACGGCATCATGCAGGCCTGTGGCTGGAGCGTGCCGTCTCGATTCAAACAGGTAAACGCACGCGATAAAGCTTCAAAACAAACWCGGAGAGTTAAAAGCTTTTTCCAGGCTTAACATGCAAACTGTAATTCTTATGCTGAAGGTCAAAGTAAAAAAGGGTTAAAATGCCTGAAAATAAGGAAAATCTTCATAAACCAGTACTTTGTTTTACCTGTAAACCTAATGGAAAGACCACAAACCAAAACACCTTTCGCCAGCTATTCTTTTAAACAATAAGTTTGTCCCAAATACACTCTTTAAAAGTTTGAAATCCACAAAACATCTTTAGGTTTTCTTCTAAAGTAGCCAGACTTTCATGTGATCAATAGTTTCTTTGCTCTAAAAAGATTTAATGAGACAGAGGATATTAAAAGTCAAACACACACCTGCTTTTTATAAGTTCTTGTGTTGCATTTTTAAAATTAAAAGATTTAAAAAAACATCTTCTGAACCAAAAGGGATGCACTTTTTGCTTAAAACAACAGTTCTTGAAGAATCTAACAAACTGATGTCAAACTTTATCTACAAACTGAGGCGGAGTTAAAGTCAAACAGGAGCTCAATAAGTGAATAGTTGGGTGATGTTTGCATGTTGGGAGAAACTTTATTTCAGTTTGTTCATAACTCATTTTTCTCAATACATATTTTTGTCACAATGGACATATTGTTGTGATTCTGATGGTCACTCAGCAGAGTGAGGAGAACTGGTTTTAACCAGATAGCTTTCCAGTACGAATCCCAATTCTTCAAGGCTTTGGGAACATGAATTCTGTAGTTGAAACCTCAGGCAGTGGTGACTGCACTAATCTGTAACTAGTCCAGATCACTATTGTAAAGTGCAAAACAAATAGTGKTAGAACTGAACCTCAGCAACTAAAGACACGCAGGTTTAAAACAGATCAAATTGTTTTTGTTGTTAAAGTTTGTCTTTTGAAACTTTGCATTTTTTTGGTTCCAGGACACTCTTGTAAATGAGATTTTCAATCTCAGTGACTTTTCTCTCTTGGTAAATATATTATAACAAGTAGGGGTGTGCGTTTCGAACTAAGTATCGATACCAAGATGAGTATCGGATCAATACAGTGTGATGAGATAAAGATCAAGTGAAAATTAAAGTCAGTCGTGCAGAGTCTCCAAATTATTAGGAGTTGGTCATTAGTTCTCTACATCAGTGGTTCCCAAACTTTTTATCTTCTGACCCACAAAATATCCATGGCAAAAACTTGTGACCCCAAATATTAC